CAGTTGTAGGTGTTGACACCATCCACGCAGGTACCACCATTCTTGCAGTTGTTGCCTGGACAGTCATTGATGTTCTCTTCACAGTTCTGGCCCGTGAACCCTGCACAGAGGAGACATCTACCATGATGCCACCAACCTACTGGCTGTGCCACTGCCTCAGCGCCCCGCCACCCCATCACCGATAGCAAGTTGCTCACTATTGGGTGCTGAATGTGCACCAGGTGCTCCCAGCCCGGCTTTGAAGCCAGCCGCCCAGTTTCATCCCCAGCCTCATCCGACCTCTGCCAGGGGTTCTGTTCTTCCATGCAGGTTTCCCTGCAAGGGTGCCACGGCCAGAGCTTGGCAAGCAGAGTTGGCTTCCTCCGCACAGGGCAGGTGGGGTGTCCCTGGCACGGGGTTCACCTGCCAAAGCCCCCGGCTCTGGAGACGCTTGCCCCAAGCAGTGGAGGATCCGGCTCCACAGCAAGTAGGATGAATCGCGTCTGCTCCCGTCAGGGCTTGCGGCACCCGGTGCTGAATCACCAGCTTTTAATTTTGCACATAAAGAGCCTCAGCAGCAGCGCTTCCCCCGGAGGGGGATCCCAGTCCCTGGCTGGGTGAACCACCGTCCCGTAGTGCCGTGCTGATCCCAGCCCAGCTGCTTGGGCTTGTGTTATCACCTCCACCTGATAGCATGGCACACACAGAAACCACGCTGCCCCCGGCCTCGCCCCACGGTCTGCAGCAGAAATGAAATGTCCAGGTCCTTCTCAGAGCATCTGACATGCCACCCTGTCCCCTCCACATCCCACCTGGGTTAAGAGCTGCATTTACTGTACATGAAATGTACCGTACAAAAGCCCTGACCCAGCCACCGTCAGGCGTCAGCCTTCACAGCCCACCCAGATGCTTGGGTCAGGATGGCAATGCCAACCCGTGGCAGCTCCCTATGGTCTTGGTGAGCACCTGCAGCTCCTCCAAAACCCCAAGGTGTCCTGCAGGTCCAGACCAGGCTGCTCCCCCACGCAGGCAGCTCATCACATCACCTCCACCTCCATGGGGAAGGCACTGGGTGCCCGGGCTCATTCTCTGTGGGACCCCAGACCCCTGCCCAGCTGTGGGTTCTCCCTTCGCTCCCTCCAAAGGGCCGTGATTTCTCCTCCCTCATAGCTCAGCCCCCTCACACGAGCAGCAGCAACAGCTATTTACGATTGCTGATAAAAGCCCAAGGCAGATAACGTTGATTTGTGCCTCGTTTTTTAGCAGCTGGTGTGAGACTGAACAGCAATAACTGGCAACATCCTAGATACCTGGATTAACTCATTTTGAACTATCCGAATGAGTAATTAGTATTGCAGTTACTTTAAACTCAGGGTTACATTCTACAGCGATGGCACGATAAAACAGCCGAGATTAGTTTAACTTGAAGAAACTCGGTAGGGCTAGGCCTCTCGGGGAATGAAAAGGGGACATTGTTTCAGGTCTGCTGTGCTGCATACCAGCGTATCAATCATCCTCTTATCATGAGAAATGGCCCCCAGTCCCTCCTGTCCCCACCCCAAGCCGATGCAGCTCCTGCAGCGAGCCATGCTGGATGGCGGAGGTGCCAAGGGACCCTCCCATCCCCCTGGAGCATCCAGCGTGAGGTGAACCAGCTCCTGCACCATGTAAATCTCCTGGAAGCAACCCACAAAGCCACAGATGGGCGTGCAAGCGCCGATCCCCCCTGCAGAAGGGATGCTCCCCCAGGGCCATACCTCACCCAGACGTACCCAACGCTTGGGCTGCTCCAGGGAAAGTGCCGTGTCAGCAGAACGGCAGGGCAGGGCTAGTGCCACTCCTCCTGCCCGCTCCACCTGCCCATCCCTGCGGCAATGCCGCTGTGCCGGGACAGGGCTCGGAGCTGCTCCTGCAGAGCATCGCCCCTGGGAGCTCCCGGCTGCACCGGCTCATCTTGGCCAAGGCCCTCAGACACATGGTCTGAATCTTGGGATTGTCCTGTGCTAGGGCAAGAGTTGGACTCGACGATCCTTGTGGGTCCCTTCCAACTCACAACATTTGATGCTTCTATTGATCCTAGCAGGAAAGGCTTCTTTCCCTGGAATCCTCAGTGCCTCACTGCCACTAAAGGTGGGAGCTTGGCTCCAGCCTGGGCAAGCAGGTGTGGAGGGGAAGCCAGAGATTCTGCAGCACCCTGTGTATTTTGAGTGGTTCATGAGTCTCCTGAGTTATTGCAGCCAAAAGCTTTGGGAAGGGGACTGAACCTCTAAGCCTGTGTCAGAGATCAAGCCCAGAGCCACCATGCTGCCTTGCAGGGATCATACACCTGTCCCTAGCACCGGGCTGTGCCAGCTGGGAGACACCATCCCCACCCCAACACCATGTCCCCAGCAGCTCTGGAGCACGAGCTGTGGTGGAGGGAGACCAGAGCTCCCCCTGGTAATGATGAGCACCACCTGGGGTGTAGAGCAGAGAAGCTGCCTACCCCGGGTCCTGAGGACCAGAGGAGATCAAAGCAATCCCATGAGAGACTTCTCCAGCAGCTCAGCACTGCCCACAGCTTCCTTCCAAGGGAGAGGGCGGATGTGTCCCCTCTGCATCTGCCACAGCCGGCTGAAACGGCACTCACCCCCCCGCAAACACAGCCTGCTCTGAGCGCGGGGCTGCATCGCACGGCAGAAGAAACTCAGCAATGTCATTGTCATTTCTCCAGCCGGTGCGGGGCCAGGGGGCCATGCTCAGCCCCTCCTGCTCCCTGCAGACCACTGCTCGAGGGCTGCAGCGAAAGGGCTCGCCAGGGTCAAGGGGCCCTTCTCTTCTTTCTTCCAGCACACAGGGTGCTGAGCTCCCAGGACAGGCTTCCTCCTGCAAGAGCCCTTCATTTCAGAGGCTGTAATTCAGCCAGGCTGCTCTGGCGCTTGCTGGAGGGAGCAGCAATGAGCATGGAGAGGGTCACCCTTCCCCAACTCCCTTTGCACTCGGAAACTTTCCAAAATAGCTATTCCGGGCTAATTATTCCATTCTGGAAGTGGATTAAGCTAAAGCGGAAAAAGGCACTCTTATTCTGGAATATGAGCATCCGCACAGGGGCCTCTGGTGAAACAGTTGTTTTGGAAGAGCTATTTTGGTGAATCACCAAGTATGAAAAGCCCCCAGATGACCTCTCTTCTTTGGGCTTCACTGCCCAACATCTTCCCAAGCACGTGTGGCACAGCGAGCCCGCAGCCCCTTGTTTTCGTCCCTCCCAGAGCCGTAACTCAGGGTAAGATGGGGTAATACTTGTTTATGGAGGGGGTAAAGGGGCTGCAAGAGGGTCCCTGGCCCACGCCCCCCTGCTCAGAGGCAGCCCCTTACCCGGCAGGCATGTGCAGTCGTAGGTGGTGTCTCCGATCTGGCGGCACGTTCCCCCGTTCTGGCAAGGCGAGGGGTTGCAGGGCACGTAGAGGTGCTCGCAGTTCTGCCCGGTGTATGCCGGCTTGCAGGAGCCCTGGTAGGGGCCCCCCCCGTTGGGGTTTTTTTTCCCGCCATTCTTGCAGACGGGTGGTGAGATGCTACACTCGTTCACGTCCTGCTTGCAGTTGGCCCCGTGGAAGCCGGCAGTGCAGCGGCAGACGTAGTGGGCTTCGAAGGGGACGCACTGGCCCCCGTTGGCACAGGGGTTGGAGGCACAGGGGTCAGCCTGCTGGCAGGTTTTGCCTGGGGAGGGCAAGGAGGGAGGATGAGGATGCAAACTGCAGCTCAGGCGCTTGGCAGAAGAGATCTTTGTGATCTAGAACTGTGCTCACAGGGGGTGCAACTCATTCCCCAAACTTCTGCCCTTGTAAAAGCCCCACCGGTGCAGGAGACTTGCCACCCACCCAGCCAGGGACCCTCCCAAGCCCCTGTTCCATTGTGGAGACACCTCTCCTTTCTCCCATCCCAGGAACAAGACAAAATCAGCAGCAGTATCCTCCTTCATCTGCGGGGCTTTTCCAGGAGCAACCCTTGGTGCAGGTTGCCCTTCTATACCCCCCCATCCAGGTCACTGCATGCCCGTACCCCGCGGTGGCACCGCCTCACCTGACCACCCCGGCGGGCAGCGGCACTTGTACTCGCTGAGTGTCAGCAGGTCACAGGTGCCTCCATTACGACAGGGGTTGCTGAGGCAGACGTTGTCGCGGGGCGTCAAGCAGAGCTCGTCGGTGAAGCCCAGGCGGCAGACACAAGTGTAGTCCACGGTGCTGCCGCGCACTGCTGGGATGCAGGTGCCGGCGTTCTTGCAGGGGGAGCTCAGGCAGGGGTTGGGCAACTGGCACCGCTCACCCACGTAGGCACTGCTACACCTGGAAGGGACAGGAAATAGCATCAGCGGGATTGTCCCCAAGGGGTTGGGGGCACCTGGCCACCTCAGGGATCATCTCCAGGAACACCTCCCCAACCCCGCACCGCATCCCAGCACATCATGTTTGGCAATTTCAAGGCTCTGCCCTGGCTGCTCTGGGCTGAGAAGAGGAAGATGAAAGAGGCGCCGAGAACAAAGGCGTCATTCCCCATCGAGGGGCCTGCACCGACTTGCAAAACCGCAGCCTCCAGCGCTGACGTCCTGTCCTGCTTCCCATCACAATGTGCTTTTTTTTCTCCCCCCAACTCACTGAAGAAGAAACCATGGACATGGTGTCATACTGGCACCCAACTCAGGGCACCTGCAGACCCCAAGGGAGAAGAAACCCGGCAGCGATCCATGGGGCTAAGCAGCACAGGGACAGCGTTGTGCCTCTGCCCGTACCAGGGTTCCTGCTCCATGACAGTGATTTTTATCCTCTCTCCATCCTGAGAAATCAGTCAAACATGATCAAACACAGGCTCAGCATTGGCCTGTAGTAGGTGGGACATGTTCCTGCTCCTCACAGCCAGCTGAGATCTTCCCTGAAGATATCCCTGCGCTAGAAGGTATGAACAGCCCCAGCTGCAGCATCCCTCTGCATGGGGGCCTGGAGAAAAGGTCCCCTGATGCAGTGACTGGTTCAACCATCTGTCACTGGTGGCCAACAGAGCTGGAGCAACTGCTTGCTGCAGGACAGGGTAGGTGACAAGGACACACTGCAAGGGCAAATCCCACCAGCCATCCTAGCAAGGCTGGGCAGGACATGGGGCCAGCAAAGGACCCCACAGAGCAGGGAGCTGTGCCCTGGGAAAGGGAGGAGAGAGCAAAGCTGCGCACAGAGAGACCGAGGGCACCTGGCATCCAAGGAAGATCCTGGGGACAAGGCCCTTCAGCATGTCCCCAGCACACACTCTCCTGTGCGGCATCTCTCCTAACACGTCTGCAACTTGACGTGCTGTGTGTGTGTGCTTCTCTGACTCACATTTCACTCCTGCAAAAAGGAGATTTTCTGCCCTGGCTGGGCTGCACTGAACAGCCACACAGGCAGAGCATGGGAGGACCAAGGCAACGCCGGCAGACTGCTGTCCCGCACCATGATGGCAATGCCACCGCAGCAGAGCAGGACATGCTGTGCTCTCGTGCCAGGCTGCTGGCTGCTATCAGAGGCTTTGAGAGCAGAAATAAATCTGGGAGAGGCTACACACATTGCCGTGAGCTTGGGTAAGGCAACCACAGCGAGAGAAGACAAAAGCACCCGGGCACCGGGGGACCATTCTCCCCGCCGTGCTTTGGCAAGTTGGGGCTTGGGGAACCCACGATGTGCTCGCATCTCTCGTCACCCAAGCTGGTGGGATCCTGTGTCCCTGATCCTCGTGCACAGCACCCAAGGCTCCCGTTGTGGGCAGCCCCCCGGGGCGAGCAGAAAGGGTCCTGGGGAACACTGCAGCCTGCAAACCCCAAAATGAGAACGTGGGGCTCCTCTGGTGAAGCACAACCAGCAAATCCCTCAACTGGCCCCAACCCAAAGCCACCATGCTTTGCCGCACCGTGCCTGCAATAGGACCACATTTTGGCCCTACTCTCCCTCTCCTCTTCCCCTATTTTTTTTTTTTCTTTTTTTTTTTTAACCCAATTCTGATTTCATTGTTGGGGATTGTGTGAGAATTTGTCAGGATTCGGAGACATTTTGAGTTAATGAGACGGCATTATCCAGGCCAAATGAAAAAGAAAATGTGTATAATAATAAATCAGGGCATCTGCTCGGCACACAAAGGGCGGCGGGGAGCAGGTGTGCATCCTAATGAGGCAGAGCAGCTGCCGGCGCCCTTTTCCGGCTCGCCGGCGGCTCCAAGCTCGGGGCGTCGTGGCCATGGGGTGACGGCACTTCTGGGTGGCTGCGCCACGGCCCCGCGTTGGGGAATGTGAGGGCTGGGGCCTGAGAGGGGCCATTGTGCGGTGCGGGGAGGTCGGCACAGGCACGCCGCCGGCAAAGCGCTCAAGTGTGCAGTCATCTGTTAAAAGCACTGCTCTCCCCCGCCTCCCCGCACCACACACGCTTTTTTTCTTAAAACAATCCTCCGGGCTTTCGTGGCGGCTGGTGGACAGAGAAGCGTCATAAGATTCTCCAATGGGAGAAAAAAGTGGAAAAAAATAAAAAAGGAATAAGAAAAAAAAAAATAAAAGATGCTGGACAAAGAGCGCGGGAACCACCAAGTGTGCGGAAACCACCACGGCACAGGCTCTTTTTTTTTGGGCAGATGGGAGCGGGAGGCGATGCTCTGCGTCCCCGAGCGGGAGGTGATGCTCTGCATCCCAGACCCAGCTGGGCAGCCGGCAGGACTATGGCTGGGATTGGGGTTCCTGTGCTGTGGGGTTTAAATGAGGCTGGGGTGAGGGGTGTGGAGCTGAAAGCCCTCCCACCCAATTAGTTTTCAGACCGTTTCCAATTTCAGTGCAGGCAAGTGATGGTCTGAGCTCATGGATGGGAAGCCAGAGCAGAGCCTGGGCATGGTTATTAGGCAGGAGGTTAATTAGTGATGGGAGAAACTCCCCTGGGGAACCCCTGCCCTAAGGCACAGGGGGCTGGGGCCAGTGGCTGTGCCCAGGTTGGGGGATGCTCCATGCCCAACTGGGCTGCCTGGGTGCTTTCCAGGCTTTTGCTTCAGGAAACCCCTCAAGTTTTATGGAGTTTGCAGATTTTTTTTTTAAAGGCTTTCTATTTGTTTGTTTTAAGAGCTGGTTTATGGACACAATCAGCTCACGAAGTGAGGAGGGTGTGGCAGAAGTGCTCAGCATGGGTTGGGGAAAAAAAAAAAAAGCAATACAACACAGGCACCCCTAAAATCCAGCAGTCACTACTATAACCCACGAGAATTTTGCATCACACAGAGTGGGGCTGTGCAGCACAGACCCACTGTGGATACCTGGAGATTCCCAAATCACCACCATGGCCGTGGCAGGGACGGGGACAGCCCTTGCATACCCACTGCACACACCAGCTCCCAGCTCGGGGAACCCTATCAAACTCCTCCCACGATTTCTAAGTCATTTCAGTTTCTTTTCAAGGTTTCAGGCCAAAAGGTCTCTGACAGCAGGGATATCACTATCATGACAGTGATAATGCTACTCAGTAAGAGCATGAAATGAGGACACTGGATGCTCCTCTGCTCACACAAGGCAGTGCCTGGGTTGTCCGTGGGCAACCTCACACCCAGTGGCTTCAACACCACTCCTGCATCATCTGTAGATGCTTCTGCACAGAAACGATGCTATTCCTGCCCACGTTTGCAACAAGTCTGAGAGGAGGCAGGGAAGAGCACAGCTGTAGACCAAAGCCATGGGATGAACTTCACTGTTTCCTCCCCACACAGATCGCGGAGCTCACTCAGCCAGAGACTCTGGAGCTGCTTTTAAAAGCCCAATGACTGCAATGGCTTTAGAGTCTTGGCTGCAGAGGAAAGCCTGCAGACAAGCCTCACATGCAAAGTGAGAGATCAAAAACCAGGTGAAGAATAAGACCAGTCCAAGACGCAGTTATTTTTCAGCTCTGCCAGCTCTGGAAAGGCTGGATTCATCAGAGCCAGGTTCAGCTCCCAGCTGTGCTGCAACCTCATCATGCGTCCACCTACTTCTCCAGGGGCTAAAAACCTCTCCTAAAGTTCAGCCCAGGGAGCTAAGCTTTATTTTCTGTAAAAAACATATCGGCGGGTGGTGGCGTCAGGGCTCCCAGGTGAGCAGACGTGGATGATGCGACACCCCCGCGGGCTCAGCCAGGAGAAGATCACCCTGTGGTTTTTCCTTTAGCATTTCCCAAGCAAGGGCTACCCAAACCAAACCCCAAGCAGCTTATGGAAATTAGCATAAGAGACATTAAAGCTGTGCTTTAATTACAGATATATGCGTTGGCAGAGCACAGGGAGGGTGCTCCAGGATCAAAACAGCTCAAAAGGGCCATTAGAATCCAGCTTTGAGGCGGTGAAAGGCAGCCAAGCTCCCCAGGGTCCTGAGGAGCCTCCACAAAATCCCTAGAGAGGCCAGTGTGGCTGCACTCCCAGCCCCACGTGTGACGCACGCCCCGTTCCCAAACCAAGCAGGAACAGCTAAAAATACCGATGTCTCTCCCTCCTCTGAGCACGCAGCTGAGAAACATTTCCATTGACTCATCAAACCTGCTGAAGGGGCATCAAACGCTCCAGCCATGACCCACCTCACTGCGTTAGATGATGACAGAGGGTGACAGCATCCCAACCCCGGTGATGGCCAAGCCCTGCTCCAATGCATGATGCTTCCTCTCCCAGCACTGTGCCAGCACAAGGAGCAAGTCAGGGCGGACAGTCTCACAAGTTTTCATTTCTAGGATATTTGTTACATGACCTAACCAAGGGACCGGAGCCGTCACCAAAGCACCAAGCAGGACAAGGGACAGTGATGCAGCAGCTGGTGCCCATCCCTGTGGATGGGGATGCTGCGTATGCTCCTCACAGGTACAAACATGCTGATTTACACCCCTTACCATCCATCCCAGTGGATGGCTTTTTGTTGTGGGGGGTCAGGCAGAGGCTGGGGGCTGCATTCCCATGACACTGCGCTGTGACACGGCTTTCCCCTCCATGCTGGCCCTGAGCAAGGGCCCGGAGAGCAAAATGCTGGGGGGTGGGAGGGAAGACACAATTAATAATGCACTGAGCTCCCGGCCCATAAATCTCCAGCACGATTCACGGGCAATGTGAAGGGTGACGGAGAAGGTCTTGTCCAAGGTCAGACAGTGAGTCCCAGGGGATGCTCTGGGAACGGGAACAGCAGCCCCAAATTCCCACCCCGCTCCCAGCGGCAAACCCAGGCCAAGTCTGGATCTGCTCAGCACGGGCACGTGCACTTGTTGTGTCTGCTGCACATCCTTAACAAGTTACAAACAACAGCCCAACGCTGCAGTTATTTCAGCAGAGCTCCAGAAAAACT